GAATTTCTGATTTGAGATCTTTCTTGAAAATTTGAATCTTATATTCTTCTAAATATACTTGCTCTGAATTCACTTTACTTTCAAGTTTTATAAATTGATTAATATATTTTTCTACTATTCCAGTTTGTTTTAATAATTTCAATTCATTCTACTATTATTGCATCTTACAAGACAAATAAAATTTAAGAATAAATTAGTAAGAAAAAATATGTATATTATAATTTTTAGTAATCTATTTATTTAATTTGAAAGTATTACTAATAGATTATTAATCAAATTAAATAGCAGCTATTCTCTCTAGATATTCTCTTATTATCTTATCTTTCTGTTATTAGTAATTTCATTAGCTTTAGTAACTACTTTAAAGTTATATAATTATTTAATAGGATCCTGATCATTATTTTTAAATTTATAAATTGAGATAAGAATTTTCTCTATTTTTTGAATCTTTATAAATTGAGTTAATTCTTCAAGAGCTTGAATAAGACTTTTCATTTTATCTAATATAGCTATTTCTTCTTTTGGTTAAAGTTTTTGAGATTGAATTTCTTTGATTATAATTATTAGCTCTTCTGGATCTTTAAAATTACTACTTTTATACTTTGATTCTGTTAATTAATTAGTTGAAGAAGTTTTAAAATTGTCTGTTTCTTCAAGAATTAGAAAAATATTATTAGCTAGATAGATTTATTATTTAATTATAATTTTTATTTCAAATATGAAGATATTTAATAATTTGATAATTTCTTTTTAAAGTTAGTTAGATATGAGATTTTACTATATTATATTATCAAAAAGTTTTTGTAAGAGTCTGTTATGAGAGATCATATAATAGTCTTGAGAAAATTTATAAATCTTTTATCTGAATCTTGATAAGCAGTAAAATAATAAGGATAATAGTTATATAATTTAATATAAAATAAGAATTTTCAAGAATTATCTTTATTATATTTACTAAGATATAGATCAATTAGAAGTCTGATAAAGAGTAATATATACTTATAAATTAATTAATTAGGTAATAAATATCTCAAGATAGTTAATTCTTAAAATAATAAAATAAATAATAAATAAAAATAATAAAATGAGTTAAAAAGAAATTTTTGAGAGTTAAAATCTATAGAGAGGATACTAAATATTATAAACTATACTTTAAAAGATAGATTTTACTAAAAATATAGTCTATAATAAGTTTTAAGAGTGAAAACTAAATTATTTATAAAGATTAAGAGGATAATGATTATTTTAAAGATTGTTAAGTATCAATACTTATAAGTATTATATCAATATAAAACAAAAATAAAATAAATTAAAAATAAAGTTATAATCATGAAAACTAAACTAAGAATAGATATCTAAAACTAAAGTAACAAATATTATATTAAAAACAAAAGATTTAGTATGCTGACTAAACTTCTAACGGTATATTTTTAACTATTAGGTAAACAAAAGATATATATCAAAATAAAATAAAGCTTTTATATACAAAAAAGCTTATAAAAATCTTCTAAATCAAATAAATATGTTTGAATTATTTTAAGTAAAGGATATGTACTACCTATATTTTTTAGGCAAGAAATATATAAATAACCAGAATATAATCTATTATGACAGAAAAGATAAATAAAAGCAAGATATTAAGACAAAAATCAAAGAAATAAAAGTAATAACTAAATATTCTTAGAATTTTTATAATTCTTAAATATATATAAATAATATTAAGAATAAATTATTATGAATTTTATCATATAATTATTAATTATTTGTTAAAATTATAATATAATTTTTATTATTATTAATTATTTTATTAAATATACTTATTTCATTTTAATTTATATATCTTTAAAATTACTAATTATTTTTTATTAATATCTTTAAATTATATAAATTATCTTATATTATAATCTTAAATTATAATATTAAATTTACTAGTTATTTTTAAAAATCTTTCTTTAATATTAAGATAGCTATATTTTATTTATAATTAAATAGATATTTTATTACTATTAAATTTGTTTATAATAATTTTATATAAGTTTTATTAGAATATATATCTTTTAAATTAGACTATAATCAATATTCTATTATATTTTTAACACTTATTTCAGATATTAAGTTATTATCACTAATAAATTTGTTTAATATTAGATTAATATTATCAAAAATATTAAGAATTTATTAATATAAAAACAGAATTATTAATTAAAATATACTAATTAATATTATTATTATCAAGAAGTTAAAATTAAAGACCAAGTTTTACTTTCAACTCACAATATAATTAATCTTATAGATAAGTAATATTTTTGTAAAAAGCTTATATTAAAATATATTAAATTCTTTTCTATTATTAATATTATTTTATTTATTATATATAAATTAAATTTATTATTATATTTGAAAATATATTCTGTATTTTATATCTTATTATTAAAATATATAATTCTAATAATAATAAAAAATTTATATATCTAATATATTCACAAGCTATAATTATATTTGAAATTAAAAAAGAAGAATTTAAAGTCAAATTAATTTTAGATAAAGAAATTAATCTTATAAATAAGTAATATTTTAGTAAAAAGCTTATATTAAAATATATTAAACTCTTTTCTATTATTAATATTATTTTATCTATTATATATAAATTAAATTTACTATTATATTTAAAAATATATTCTGTATTTTATGTCTTATTATTAAAATATATAATTCTAATGATAATAAAAAATTCATATATCTAATATATTTACAAGCTATAATTATATTTGAAATTAAAAAAGAAGAATTTAAAGTCAAATTAATTTTAAATAAAGAATTATTTGTAATAAATCTTAATATTTAGTAAAATAATTAGATTATTCACTTCATAATACTAGAGAACTCTTAAAAAATCTTTATAATATTATAAAACTTAATAAAATCTTTAAATTCTAAAATATCAATAAGAATATTAATTCTTAAGAGAAAAGATATATAATAAAATTAATATTTAGTTTATAAATTATTATTACTATATCACAATCATTCTACTTTTATCAAGATAAGTCATATAGTATTATGAGTTATTTTAGCTATAATAATAGAAATTCTTTTTACTCTTATTCTATTAATATAGCTAGTATACTATTCTTTTTATATAATTAGATATAAAAATTCTAATTCCAAAATTTGTTGAGTTCTTTATTATGAGTTCAGAAATATTAATGGAAATCATACATAAATACTGCAGATATTTATAGCTTTGAATAGTTATGTTTAAGAATGTAATTGGTGAATAATAATTTGATAATATTAGTCTTGTATTAGATATTTGCAATGGAATATAACTATAATATCAAATGATATTTATTATTGAAATTCCATTCAAGAAAACTGAGGAACTTGATTACTTTAGCTTACTTTTTCTAAGCTTATCAAATACTTCAGATGTATAATATTATCATAGTAACATAAATTTCTTTAATTTCATAATTTTTTGAATCTTGGAATTATGACTAATCAGTAGATCTTTGAATAACATGTGATTCAGTTAAGAATTCAATCATGATTCAATAATGATTTTATATACATGTATACCGGAAATTAATTAAATTGTGTAAATCGATAGATCGGATTTCTCACTTAGACCACCCTCACAGTTTATTATGTAGTTTTGAACATACTAAAATATATTGAATTGCTTATACTAATATCAGTTTAATTTAATTATAATATTTTTTAATTATATATATATATTTGGCGATAAAAAATTTTTTAGTATTGACAATGCTGATATTAAAGAACATGTATTTGATTTTGCATATTCATTGATTACTAAAAAAATTTATGAGTTTCTTAAAGGTGATCATTTATGTTCTTTTTTATTGATAAAACTCTTGGAAAAATTATTTTACATTTAACACACTATCGTTATGATTTTCTCTCATTAGAAATCATTGTGATTCTATGATTATTTAAACATACAATTTCAAATTAAAACTTGTTAATCATTAATAAAGTGAAACTTTTATTTTTGTGAGCTTAGTACATGTACGTATCGGCTCTTGCCATTGTCAAATGATCATTCAGATCTTTATAGCTGAAATGAAATAATAGCGATCGTGTAAATGAAACCAGAAAGTTAATACAGGACAATATGATGGTGCAAGTAATAAATCTAACTCAAAAAGAGTCCAAATCAAAATTAATGGACTTTGAACGAATATACTTATGTATCGGTCTAAACTTTTCAATTTGACATTCGAATTCTAATTCGGTGTACTATAACTAATATAAAAGTCAAAGAAAAGACGAATGCTAAAAACCGTTTAAGATCTAAAATTGATGGCATACATATTAATATATCCCATTTACATTAAAAATAATGATTGCTTTCCTTTAAAGATGAACAAAAATTCTATTTTTATTTTTTCTGTTAAATTGGCTTTGAAGTTTAAAATAATGAAAGATAGCTCACATTATTTTTGAGTTAAATGACCAAATTTCATGTACATGTACTTTAAATTGTATTTTTATTCATATTTAAACAAAACCTAACGTCATTAATGACATATATATTTTAAATATTATGTTTCTCGTGATTTCTCGTAAGTTTGTTTATTTCTAAAGGTGTTTTATTAAATATCCCGTGTAAATTTCTAATTGGGACCATTATTCAGACATGAGGTGATTTTTGTAAATAATTAAAGGACTAAACCAGAGTGTGCATGTATATAGTACGTGCATTTATCATTATACATGACATGTAGAAAGTCGACTCCACGGTAGTTTACATTTCCAAAAAGTTTTGCATTTATAGAGGGCACGTAGCGTACGTAGTGTTAACTGACGTAGTACAAGTATTTGCTATACAGATATAGCGGGGATCTGACTATAACCCCCCCCATCGTCTCAGCTAAAAAACCAACACATCCCTTAAATAAATACATGTAACCTGATTTACATAAATAATCTATAAAAATAAATAAAATAACCCATTGGCTCATCTAAGATTGGATTTACAATTCAATACCATTCGTTTTGCACATCTTCGTAGCTTCTTGATGCCCATGATATGCGGCTAATTTCAAATATTCTTCTCCTTTCTTTTGATCTTTTTTCGTTCCTAATCCATTATAGTATGAATTCCCAACATTATACATTGCAATGGTATTTCCATGATCAGCCGACCGAATGAAATACTTCAATGCGTGCGAAGCATCTTTTTCAACGCCATCTCCTTTCCATAAACAATAACCATATCGTAGTTCAGCTTCTGGGATTTCACCGTCATCTGCTGCCTGTTTGAATAAGTTTGCGGCATCACGCAACCGTTGTTCCTTAGGTTTTTCTGCTTCAGTCCAATCAAGAATGTTGTAATAAAGGTAGTATCCGACCCAATATTTTCCTAAGAGGTCTCCAATGCCCTTATATTCATTAAATGTATCCCATGCAAGCTTTTTATTCTTCTTTCTGTGTTCTTTGATAGCTTCAGCTAATGATATCTTAGGAGTTTCAATTACTAATTCTTCTTCTGGAAATTCGGGTTCGTGTTCGTCTTGCTGGTCTTCTCTTTGTTGAAATTGTTGACGTGGTATATTAGCAAAACTTGGCCTAGGTGACGGCGGTGGCTGTGTTTTTAGCCAGATAGGATAAAGCGTTTTAAAGAAATCAGTTATAGAAGGTCGCATACTGGGATCATCGTGGACAGCTAATAGAATTCTCGATTAACATCGATTTATCATCTCTAAACTTCATGAATAAAACGTAAAATAATAAGCGTACCTTCGTTTACTATTCTCTTATATTCAAGTGGAGTATTTGGATTAGAGAAGGGTTCTCGATATTTGTCATTAACTACTCTCTGACGTATTTTGACAATATCATGCGGAATATCTTCATGAGGTCTTTTTGCTTCTGCTATTTCCCACAGCAATATCCCAAAACTAACGATTATGACATGAGAAAAATCTTAACATACTGTATAAGGGATAATTTATAAGTATAAAAAAATAAAGACAAATACCTGTAAATCTCACACTTAGAATCATAATAATATTTTCGATTACTTAATTTCTCAGGTGCCATATAACGTACATTATCAACATTTGCACCAATATTTCTTGTGGCTTCACTAAGCCCTCTCGAGAGACGAAAATTTCCGATTTTTGCTTTATAACCATCGCTAATGAAAATATTTTCACTTCGGATGTCATGATGAATAATGTCGACTGCTTGAAGATAAGATAATCCACGACAAATATCCAGGGCAAATTCAATCTTTCTTTTCCAATCAAACAAATTAGGGTGTTGCGAATAGAATTCTCGAAGATTTCCATGTTGCGCCCATTCAGTGACTAAATACTTTTTAGTACCTTCATTTGCCAAGCCATAGAATTGAATGATATTTGGGGAGTCGCGTAGTTTCTTCAGAATCGTTACTTGTGTTTGGATATCTGATTCCGGCTCCTCCGTCAAGGCCACCTCTTTGAATGCCACATCATTATTATCTAATTTTCTTCTGCGTTTTTGCACTTTTCCTTCATTATTTTCTTCTCTTGCTGGAAAGAAATCATTAATATCCAAAGGTTTATCGCCAATAACATCTAATACGTTTAATTGTTGCATGTTGGTCTGTTGTTGTTGTCTTAGATAAAGTGAATTTAGTGCTTGTATTCCTTCGATGGCATATGAAATTTTACCATCAAGAGTTACAATACCACCATTAATTGTATCAAGATACTATGAAATATATAACATATAAATGTAGTTTTAATAATTGTTAGTTAAAAATTTAATAAATAGTAGTTATTAATTAATTGATGCATACATTCTTTAAATCCTCCATGTCTTGCTCAAATACTTCATGATCTTTTTGCTGTTGTGACTTGGCATCAATAGTGATAGTAAAATGCAATTGTGCCATAAGCCCATCAAATTCTAGCGTCAATTCTTCAAACTGCCTTTTGATCTGATTAGCTTGTAATACGCCAGTCGTAAATTTCCTTAGACCCTTTATTTGCGAAATTTCCGCAATAAATCGTTTGGATTTTTCGATCGTATTTTTAAACTTCTGAAAAGTTCTAAAATTATTAACGTTTTTAAAGAATTCATGATATTCACTTTTACGTATTTCGAGATTCTTCACGGCAGCTTCTGCCGCAAACATACGATCCAACAGTACACCACAAACACGTTTATTGTGTTCGGCAGTTTGGTAGAGATTTACGGTTCCTTCAACTAATTTCAATACATCGGTGATCAATGGAGCAAATGCTGCAAAATTTGTGACTGCTCCCAAACTTCCAGCAACGACTGATGCTCCCGCCATCGCACAACCTGCTGTAGTTATGGTGATGTCGATTGCTTGAATTGTATCACCAGTAGCATCCAGCATCTCTGAAAAAGCAGTGACTCTTGTATCGATAGGCAGGTATAACGATCCATCACCACTATCTGAGTCAGCAATTTTTTCGTATCCATTACTACTAGTAATTTTTTCTTTTGTCATGATTTCTATTTTGTTATCAGTATTTTATTCGATGAATGTATGCGTTAATTTTTCCCAAAATTTGAGAATAGTCGATTTATTTATACATGTCGGAAATGCGCACTCCGAAAATGAAACTACATTAAGTAAATATCTACATAGAAATGTTGTGTATGCGTGTTATGGTTACAATGCAGCAGCATTTCTTTTCTATCCGTAAAAGAACGATCACAAAAGTTTTTATTTGTTATAGGAATTCTTACGAGAATGTTAAAAAACATCTAAAGATTAAAAACTCTATTTACTGTATACATGACGAAATCAAGACTTGATAACAAACTATATGTTCCGGGTTGGGGTTTTCCTTTCTTATTCGAATTCGTTTTGTAGGGCTGATTAACTGATACAGAAAAACGCGTATGAATTTTTTGACACGTCCTCTTTAAATAAAAATCACTTTTTTTCGATGGCGCGACATAAGAAAATCACTCCTCAAACCCGTATTTCTGAATTTCCCGGTCATTTTTATATCGATAACAATCTACTTTTTTGCAATTTTCGCAATATTTCCGTAGAATGGAAACGCAAATCAACAGTAGATGATCAATTCAAAAGCAAAATGCATCAAGAAAAAAAAAGAAAAGCTGGTCAAAAGTTGACACAACGATATCAACAACAAACCTTACCTACTGCATTAAATGCAACGGATGCCCGACGAAAAATTATTGAAGATCTCATTCAAGTGATGGCAATTGCTGATATTCCATTAGAAAAAGTAACCTTTCTACGTTCCTTTCTTCAAAAATATTGCCACAATGGAGGTGCCATTCCACAAGCTCCAACTCTTCAACAAATTTATTTGCCCTATGTTTTTGAAAACTATTTAACAGAACTTAAAGTTTTGTTTAATAACAAACCCATTTCAATTATTATGGATGAAACCACTGATGATTGTAATAGAAAGGTTATAAATACCTTATTTACATTTCAATCAAAAACAAAACTTGTTTCAGTAGATTTTTTGGTTAATGTTAATAATACTACAATTGGTCAACTTCTTGTTGCTATTTTGGCAAAATTTAATATTCCTTATACTTTACCCTATCTTTTATATCTGATTCTGCTTCTTATATGAAAAAATATTATCATGATGTTCTTGAGCCTTTAATGCCACAATTATTTCATAATCCATATTGCGTACATATTATAAGTTTAATTGGATATGTATATACTATACTATATTATATTTGAAATATTTAATTATTTACTAACTGGCATGATTTAAATTAGAGAAACATGACTCAATTTTTTGTATTTTTCCAATGTGAAAAAGTTATTATATGATATCAAAACAGTATTTGTTACAAGTCCAGCTCATCAAAGTTAATATTTAACTTTTTTAAAAAATCATGGAATTTTATCACCATGAAAAATTCCTTTTCCAGTTATTACTTGTTGGAATACTTGGTTTGAAATGATTTTTTATACTTTAGAATATCTTTTTACTTCATGATTTTTTCAAAAAAGAATTTGAAGACAATTCTATAGATAGTACATTATTGAAAAAGTTTTAACTACTCTTAATAATTCTAATGAATTTGGTTTAATTCATATTATCTTCATTTTATTTCAATTTATGCTTATGAATTTGTTCAAGATTTGGATTTTTTTCAAATCCAAACCAAATCTCTTTTTTCTTTTGTTATGCTCATTTAGAGCAATTATCAGCTTATCTTCAACAAAATCAAAATTCTAAATCTTTTTCTTCAGAATTAGATGCTACTATTCACAAATACAATAGAGATCCATTGAATTTTTACCCTATATTCTGTGAAGCATTTGAAATTTCTTTTAAAAAATTTAATTCTCATATTCCTATATATTCTTCATATTCTTTATTCAAAGCATGTCAAGTATTTGATCCTGCTTATACTTGCTTTGGTACAATTAAAAGAAGAAATATTTGGCAATATTCTATTATTCAAGAATTAGCTGAACCTTCAGAAGATTTACTTCATGAATGGAGTATTTTATTGTGGATGGGATAAAAGTAAATTATTGGGAAATTTGGATTTTGATCAATTTTGGCCTTATTGTCTAATATAGCTTTGAATTATATTTGGTTACCTATTTCTAGTTGCAATGAAGAACGTAGTTTTTCAAATTATAACAATATTTTATCTAATGACAGACAAAATCTTTCTGAAAATTCGCTTAGATCATTAAATATGTTATATTTTAATAAATTAAAAAACTGCAGAATTCAGAGTATTATCGCAGAATTACAAATTTTTAATATTGCAGAATTTTTGCAGAAACTACATATTATTGCAGACGGAATTTGCTCTTAGTCACCGCAGAAAAACATCGTCCCTGACGGAAATCAGCGGATTTTTATTTTGATCCAGGACCAATAAAAGATTTTGTGTAATAAGAAGACCACTAAGGACCCCGCAAAAATTTTTTCGAATGATTTTATTGGCTGATTTTCGTATCCCGATTGACAGGGACCCGGAAATTTCTGCTATAAAAAATATCGGAATTTATAATGTGTGTATGCGTAAATCGTTATCGTTACATTTATGAAAAATGATTTCTGCATATAGTCGTGCGCAAGAGATTTTCGTTCGCATATTAATGCAGCAAATCATAAAAAATTTACAGAAAATCATAATCTTGTAAAAATAACGTTAAATTCGACACTTAATAATGTATCTGTGACACTTTTAAATGAAACTGAATTGATTTTTGGGACAAAATTTCATATCAATTAATGAAATGGATATCAAATGTTGTTTAGAATCACTTAAAATATTGAATATGATGTATTCAAATAATAATAAACAACAAAAAAATTATCAATTTTCGAAATAAAGATTTAAAAAAAATAAAAACGATATTTGCACTCACCCACCCAGAAATCAGCTGATTTCCGTCAGCACTGTTATTTCTTAATCGCTAAATTATTAAAGAATTCTAAAACGCCACAACAGCTATGAACTTTAAGCAGTTAAATGATCTTTTATCAAGATTAAAATTTCTCTATTCTATAATGGAAACAGTGACATCATAAGATAAAATTTAAAGGGTACACATTAATCAAGTGATTTTTTTGTTGACAGTAACGTTTCCCTCCTTCATCTGGCACCTTGTCTCTACCCAAACGATAGTAATGATTTTTTTCAATGAGCAAAAGGGAAATTTTTTAATATTCATTATCATACTCGCTTCATTCAAATTATTAAAGCAAGAGCTGAATTACATATTTTGATCTAATGATAGTACAATAGGTTGCTATTTTTCTAATAGAGTTCTATGCAGCATAGCGTCGGACCATAGCGACAAAAATATGCATTTAGAGAAGTTATGCATTTGAGGAATAATTCTTAAGAGCTTCCTATATGCTTGGGACTGAACAGAAATAGCATTTAAAGGGAATTTGCATAGTGTATGAATCGTATTTAGAGGAGTATGACCGTATGTTAAAATATCAATAATTCATATTATGACACTAAATGCTTAATATAAAATACCATAGATAATTAAAATTCTGAATATATGTATTATTAACTTCCAGATTTATCGAGAGTTCTCCATTTCTAGTCGGTCAATAGGTTTTTCATTCCGCATGAAAGTAATGGCGGAAAAATTTTTACCATAATTGGTCCCTTTAAAAATACTGATGTGAAAAATAGATGACATTTCTATGAACTTCCATTTCGAATCTATCTATCTCTAGACATTGCAAAAATCATAAAACTGGACAAAGTTTACTAAATTAACAGCCCACTAACAAAAAATGCATCACTCTATAAAATAAAAACCGTGAAAAGAAAATCACATTACTAGTAATAAATTGGTATAATAATTTTTTAACATGTCATATATTCAAACCTGCATTGACATGGAAGAAAAAATGCATCATGCGTTGCACTTTAATTTAACAAACTAACCGTTATTACTTTCTGTACGAGTGGCTGCCAAAAGTTTTGCATCACACGAATAAAACAATAAAAAATGCAGTATTTTACGATTCATATGTTATTTACATGTATTTAAAAAAAGGAGAATCTTGATTATCTTTAAACTCAATATAGATCGCAATATATTATATTCATCATGATTTTGTATTTATTTCTTTCCAAAAGTGAAGACATAGTTCTTTTGATTATTAATCTATTTAAATATAAGACTATATAAAATATACAAATTTCATAACAAATCTTATTTGGTATGCTATATAAAAATTACATCTACTAATATAATCTTTCATTTTATTTTAAAAAAGTATAATTAAAACAATATGAGTATTATTACTATTGAATAAAGATCATGAATCTGCACCCTTCTTGATGAAAAATTTTCCTTCTATAATATTGCATCAAAAGAAAATATTCTATTATCTATCTTAAAAAAACTCAAAACAACTAGTTTCAGAGATAATCTTCTTATTATATATTGTGTATTAACAAGATATTCATACAAAAAATCAAGTCAATAGTGAATAGGTTTAATTCAATTTTATAAACTTATATTTATTTTATTGATATTAAACAAATTGTTAAAAATTATAGAACAGAATAAATCAGCTTTAAATAATTAATTTAGAAATATATGAACTATCAATATATAATACTTATTTAATAGTACTTTTAAAAGATGCTTATTATGATATAAATATAAATATAAATAATTATAAATCATACAGTATGTAACAAAATTTTTTGGAATTTTTTTCACATATTTCAAGTATTAATAACTTTATCAAAATAAAAGTAATGCACACTATATTTTAAACATATAAATAACATGTCCTAAACTATAAATAAATAAAGTATTAAATAATGATTTATTTGGTTTTTGTTGAGAAATTGCTTTTACAATGACATTTTCTAATAAAGAAACTCAAAGAAAAATTATATTATATTTGTAACTGAATAGAATTACTTTTGTAAAGGAAACATATTCTAAAACTGGCATTACAATATCAACTATATATTATAATTTAAAAAAGTTAAATA